GTGTGTATTTCTGTGAGTCTGACACTGCAGATCCCAGTGTGCATTCCTGTGAGTCTGACCCTGCGGATCCCAGTATGCATTCCCAGCCTGCAGTGCTTCCCTAATGTGCAGAAGCCCAAGCCCTCGTTAGCACTTTGACGGTGCATCCTAGAGGCGCCGTTTGCGAGGCTGACGTATGTGGTGCCACACCGCACTAATGAAACCGTGTTTAAAGCATAAAGAGTACCCAGAGTCCCTTTCATCAGCCACAGAGCTCGCAAGCTTGCTGATGCATTATACATCGAGCTCCGAGCTCACTTTACGCTGGCTTCATCTGCGCTATAATCTTGCTCTTCGATCGGCTCGCAATGCCTGTCAAAAAAAATTTCGCCACTGACCTTGATGAAATGAGTTAATTCGAGGCCCACAGACGCAATATGGGACTCGTGCTCGGAGACGGCGGCCCCCCGCCGGATATGGGACGGTGGGGGGAGTCCTCCCCTCACCCCATCTCCCATGGCAACATAGAAACTAGCACTGCGCTATCTGTCCCTTCATAGCGTACCAAAATAACACCGGTTTGAAAAGGAACCAGGCCAAAACACCAGACCAGCCCCTCCCACCGACCCATCTCCAGACTGGATTCGGTAACGGACACTGAATACTACGGACAACCTGTACGATTTCATATTTTTTGCACATTTTAATAATGAGGATCAGGCGTTCAGTATTATACGGCCTAATCCATTTGCATCAAACCATGTACAACTAACCAACTGACAGACATTTCAGTCCACTGTGCCAAATGTCACCCTGAGTCATGAAACTATTAAAAATAATAATGTCGATAACACTTACTGAAACAGGGATTTGCGTTCATTTTCTCAAACACATCTCAACTCTCCTAAAGTAAGAAAAAACACAAGACTTCTGAGCGATAGACAGACAACAGAGACGTTTATCTCCCGATGGAGGAACCGCTGGCCAGAAATGCGTGGACTGCCCTGGCTTTCACGAGGACGAGGAATCCCCGAGAGTACCCGCTATTCTGAAGGCAGATGCAGAACCCCACAGGAGACCAGACATAAATGCAGACAGCAGAACTATAAGCATATAAATAATAGGAGAAGTGTCACATTGATCTTACAGCTAAATGCAGGTAATTAAAGTCCCTCTGTGAGATTTGGGAACAGCGCTTTCAGACAAGCCAAATCCTGCAGTTTTATCCAGAAATGGTTCCTTTCATCCAAGGTGCCTCTTTTCCAGGTTGCGACGGTGCTGCCGGCCTCGCTCACTCGTGGGTGCTAGGGAGAGAACTCGCCCAGGAACTCACCAGAAAGAGGGTGCGGAAGTTGGCCAGGTCCCCGAAGAAGTCCTCGATGCTGACAGAATGTGCGTCGAAGGCGAAGTAGCTGCCCAGATCCTCGTAAAGCTTCAGCATGATCTTGTGCATGGTGGACAGCTTCTCATACTGCTCTCGCGCCTGTTTGCAGAAGCCGTGGGCGATGCCCGTTAAGGAAATACCTTCAGACACTGGCACCAAGGCAAACTTCAACTCAGTTTCATCTTTTAATGTTAAAGGCGGCATCCGGTTCAGCCAAGGACTGTAAACATGACAACGACCAGATAGTCTGTGGGATCTGAATCAACCAAAAGCAGAGTCACCTCAAGGCCTGTCTCTTTGGAGCTGAAGAGTCAACTTTTTAATCTTGTTTTTAGATCATTAATTATCATTGTTCATACACCACAGCACGTAACAAGGAAATGTGTCCACTGCATTTAACCTCTATGTGGTATATCAGTGGGCAGCTAATTAACACCCCGGGAGCAGGGCGTGGGGGCAGAGTGCCATGCTCAGAGTACCTCAGGGGTACCTTGCTGATCAGGGATTCAAACCAACAACCTTTCAACGACAAGCATACTTTCCTAACCATTAGGCTACCACTGCCCCTGTAGAGAGCAAGAAATCTTTTTTCTCATCATATTATGTATTTAGAATAATCATATTACATACATGACATTATGAATACAAAATAACACCAATGCTATATCTGTTTTAGAGGACCAACAACAGGAGAGAATCCCAGAGGGCAGATGGAGGCAGCTCCATATGGGACTCGCTCACCAGTATTACACATCCTCACCATTACTGTGAGTTCACCCCAGTGATAGAACACGCGGCTCAGCGAGCAAACGGCAAAAAAAACAGAAGCCATTCCAGAGTCGTGCTTTCGGCATCAGGCCTGCGGACCGCAAGCCTAAAATGGCTCTACTTCCAAACACAAAAGGTCAGCAGAACTAATATGGCATTTCAATGGCTCATCTCTCCAACGGCGACAGCCGGCAGGGAATGGAAATGCGTTTCGCTGGGGAGGGCCAGAACCAGAGGCCGCTGCAACAGCTGATTGCATTCATTGTCCGGTTGTTTGTCCCGGTTGGGATTTTCCTGAAATCTGATAGAGGGGGGTCTGTGTGTCATTTACAGAAGAGATGCCCCCCCATCCCCGGCCCAAGGCAGCACTACTGTTCTGCCTGGCAATCCAGCACTGCAAATGGTTATGGGTTCGAATCCCAGGCATGCAAGGTGAATTTCTGCACGTGAATACCCATCGGTGCACGCATGGAATGCTGATCAGCGGCGCCATCCACAGGCAGGTTGAAGAAATGCACAGACATAAGTGGGAAGTATGGAGAATTGGAGAAGGCACTTCAGAAACGGACGCTTGTCTACCTTTGTGCATGGAAAACGTATTAAAGTGGCGTTCGGCTCTCAGTACAGACAGAAGAGCAACCGGATGCATCTCTCCTAACCCATTTCCAAAGATTTTTACCTCCCATCTAGTGCATCTCTGGGCTGGCAGCCTGTTCCTTTTTTTTTGGGGAGGGGGGGGGTGCTTTTAGCTAACCTCTAAATATCAAATTCTGTAGGCCTCTGTTTAGCCTAGTATAAATAACATGGGATGCAATCATATGGGGGGGGCACATGGAGAGAGACATGTTAAAGGGATCTGGCATCCAACACACTGGCTATGTCACGGTACGTCTCACACTCAGAGCTCGGCGCTCGGAGGCAGCCTGATAGGCCGGGAGAAACGTCTTTATCCACACCACCAGCGCCAGGGACAGATGTCAGGCAGTTTGCTACCAGGCTTACGGCCTTACATCATCTCATCTAATTATTCAATTAACCTCGAGAGATACCCCCCCCCACCACCAGCCCCCGCACAGAGGCGAATGAAAATTGCAGAAACAAGAGAGCGCTCTCGGAGTTCAAATTGGCCCCTTTGGAAGTTAGCAGTGTGTACACAAGTGTGGCGTGTCGGCAGCGAGGGAGACAGCCACGCTGAGGCAGCGGTCTGAACTTTACCAAATTAAATTCCCCGGCACGCCGTGGGAGCGCGGGTGGCGTACGGAGCCTTCAGCACGCGCTCCGATTAAAATCTCAAGGATCTTTCTGAGCGTTGACAAAAATAACGATCCTTGGAAAAAAAAAGCGAGTCTCCGTGCCTTCGGAAAAGTCTAACGGATGATAAATAAATCGAACAGCGCGGAGAGGCTCATGCAGAGGCCGGTTTTTAACTGCCGGCTTCCCCGGAACAGCGTCGCTTACGTGGGGGGACATGGCGCAAGGAAAAAGCTGATGCTCCCAGCGGATGGCAGGACTGAGACCAGGATGGCAGGACTGAGACCAGGAATGGGCCAGCGGGTCATGACAGGAACCTCACGCTAAGGCAGCTAATCGTTAGCGTACGTGGGCCGGAGCTGCGGTCCAGGCTCGCTTCTCCCATTGCCATGACGACCTCTGTGCAGCGAGGTCACTAGCGCACTGCGCTGGTGTCTGAGACGCACCCCGGCGTGTGCTGCAGGAGGCTGCCGCATTACCCCCCCCCCACCCCCCCCTGACGGCACGGCTCAGTGCGCTCTCACCTGATTGTAATTAAGTTTATCGCCTCAGACAAACTGCGCGGTGATTATTTGAGTTACACAATTGGATCTACTGATTGTATCTCGCCACTAATGAAATGGAAATGACTGTAGAGGGTCCCTATGAACAGGAAGCCTCCATGGGCTCTCCGGGAGAGCGAGTAAACACACATACACAGGTAGATGGCTAGGAGTCGCGGGGAGGCACCAGCGAGCGGGGAAATAAAAGCCAGAGAGATAACATCTCTTTAGAAGTTTCTCAGGGACATCTTCCTAAATTGGTACCTTGGTGCAGGTGGTCCACCTTCAGAGCCGGTCCCAGCATATTGGGGGTGGACTAGGAAGGCAGGCTGTCTTCACAGGACACACTGTCAAACATCAGTGGGGACCCGAAGACTTCTGGGGACCCACAGTCAAACCCAACAAAGCACTTTAAGCACTCATACAAACGTGATCGATGTTGGACAGTGTGGCGGCAAGCAGGGCCAACCACTTTCATTACCCTAATTAGCCTCCCCCTCCCCCCGAGGGGTCAGAGAGACCACACCCAGGAAGACTGTCCAATTGCACACGTGTACGCCCCCACCAGCTGTTCACGTGCTTCCTGAAGGGGTCGTAAAAAGAGAAAAAGAGGCAAATTAAGGCAAGGCGACGGGCCCAGACAGCTGGCCTTGTTCGAGGAGCATGAAAATCGATCCCCCGCCACCCACCCGCCGCCATGATGGGGAACGGCTCCATCCACAGCCTCCCACCGTAACAACAGCGTAGGTAAGGCCTGGGGGGTCAGCTTGATTTCTTGAGCCACAGAAATTCATTAAAGGACCTTTTACTGTGGACTCTGTTCGGAGTGACTTCAGCTTAATGAAGTGTCAGGAAAATAAAGCGGGAAGAGGACTTCCTGTGGTCAAGGTGGGGGGGGGGGATGGAATTCCTGCCTGGGGGGCCCGGATCTTGGCCATTCACACCCAGAAAGGATCTGGGCTGGCCACCACTAACAAGCCACTTATTGTGGTCTTTAAATGGGCAAGTAAATAAAAATAAAAGATGGAATGTGAATATCTAGTGGGGGGGGACGTCATGCGGGGGGGCGGGTGGAAGTGCATAGAAGTAATGGAACCATCTCCATCGGAGACAAGGAGACACGGTGACTATTTTTAGCAAATTAATTTAAGGCTCTAAATAATTAACTGATAATTATCTGGCAATCAAGTTGAAGATAAAATGATCTCGGCGAGTTTCTTTAGTGGAGCTTTAAGGAGATTTATGGAGATGTAGGTCTCCAGTCGTGTGCTGGAGCTGGGGGGGGGGGGGGGGCAGGGTTTGGGAGTGCTTGGCGTCTAATGAGTGACGAGCAGTGGCACCCACACCACATCTGTTTGTAATATAATGTCCACCTAATGAAGAAACTAGCTGAAGCTAGGTAACCCCATCCCCTTGCCCCCCACCCCAGAACTTCTCTGCTGCCGAGCCAGGGGGTGGCCCACCTGCGGAGGGGCAAGCCGCTTAGCGCGTGTTGGTGAAATTGGCTCCGTCCAGGGCTGCCTTGAGAGGCGCAGCAGCGCGGCACCCAAACCGGACACCCCGCTTTACCACATGCAGGACCACCAGATGGCACTGCAGCTGGCATTCTACTGAAAGACAGTGAATAACCCTGAAGGTTTCCAGTTCAAATCCCAGAAGGGTCACGCTGTTGGACCTTTCAGCAGCCTTACTGAACCTGCTCCAGTTAACCTGGTAGACCTAAGTTAATTCAAACGTCCCCCCCCCACCCGTGTCCATCCCCACCCCCCAGATTCTCGCTACAGCACATCTGTGGAGGAGAACTGCCGAGACAGATGTTTACAACTTGTTGGGCGTAGACTGAAGTGCGTTATGGAGCGAGCACATCCTGCATTTCACGCTGGGCCCCTCCAGAAGAGACCCCCCATGCAGATAGAAAGAAGGCCAGGATGAGGAGGGGGGGAGACCCTGGGCGTCCCTCCCGCTGTCCCCCACTCTCCCCCAGAGGAGCTTCTCTGTCCCCAAGCCCTTGCTGTTCCTGCAGTCTTTCATCAGCATTTTCATGTAGAACCATCTGTCAACCCAACTCTATGAACACGTCAGTCCCTTTATCTGCCTGTCACTCTGTTTATTTATTTACCCCCCTCCCTCTGCCTCCCCTCAACCACCCCCCCCCCCCCTCATCTGTCGGCCTGTCGGCTGATGTCTAATTTCAGAGCGTGGTGCCTGCGAAGTTCCGGAGTCGAGGCAAAAACAGAACATGCTTTTTTTGATAAATAAATAAGCATCTTGTCACAGGTTGGAGGTGTTTGGTGGGAGGGGGGGGGGGCACTCTCCCACTGTCTTTAACCGTAACCATAAAACCTGCCATGGATTTTTTTCAATGCTCTTCTAAAAACAACCCCTCCCCCCACATATGCAAATGGAGGTTTGGCTTTAATGAAATCCGTGTCAGGGTCACATCAGAATGTCACCATCACACTTTTCCCCAAACTGCTCATCCCCCAGGACTAGCCAGCGCCTCCCAGAGGTCAGCCTGCAGATTCCCCCCAACCTCGATTCAGGTCAGGGGAA